GAGAAAAAAAATTAATGAATTAGAAAAATGAGTAAAAGTCGTCTTTCTTTAAGTTATATAAAGCAGAGAGTGATGCCTTTCTTCCTTCAATAATTTATATTATTGAAAATACGGAAAGAATAGCACAAAGGAGTATCTAAACAGTCTTAAAGATTGTAATTATTAACAAAAAATTTATATAACTTAATATCAAAAGATAATAGTCTTGAAAAAAAAATTTTAAAGTTTCTTCTAAATGAATAAATAGCAAGTTATTGCATGAAATATTTTAAATAGTTATTGTCAAAATCTCTTCGATGTTAAATACCAAACTGTTATTCAGGATTAACATTTATTCTTCAATACAAATAATTGTAATCTATGAATCTATGTTATTTTCACAAAAGTATTTGAATACATTCAATTATACACAAATCAGAAGCAATATAATAGACTACTATACAATCATCAAATTCTCTGATTTCATCAAATTTTCCAATATTTAATTCATTTCAACGATTTAAATAATTTAATTGAAATTTTAAGCTCCCTTCAACAATTGAAGAGATATTCTCAAAATCATTAGATGAATATCAGTTTTCATTAATTACCTAAAAATCATTTTATTTCAAAAATGTACTCAAAATAAAATAAAGTTTAAAAAGAATATTGTAATCAAAATCTGATAATTTAAACGGTATTTTTGAATAAAAATATTAAATTACTGAATGAAATAATGATCATAGTACACGACCAAAGTTATTCATAGATGTAGTCAGGTTCCAAGTGAAATACATGTTAAACCAACATATTTAAACATTAAAATATACTTATAGAATGAATGTGACTGGAGCTAGCTTTTGTACTTGGTTAGAACCACAGTGTTCTGCACGTACATATCTTCAGAAAATTATGATGCCATGGGAGTTACATACAGGCTAATGTATAAGTAGAAAACTTAGTGTATCTGGATATTGTAGACTTGAAGCTATACTACTGGTATTATCTAAACATTTAATTGCCTCAATTAGTTGTCAAGAATTTCATGTGTTTCATAAGTAATTCTGTAGAATATTTACTTGTATAGTCAACATAGAACTATCATCAAATATTCGTGAAATTTTCAGTGATATACAACCTGGATTCAAATGAAAATAAAGTGAAGAGGATAAATAAATATTTTACCTATTGAACCATTATAGGCTTACGAGAATGGCAATTTGTGATAACGAATTTCACTTTGTTGTTTGCTTTTCTGTTCAGTTTTCTCGTTAAATAATGATTACTTTTTTCACATAAATAATTTTGACAAATGAAATAAAAATTGAATTTAGACAACAACATATAAATGTGTTTGAGAAGAAACTGACTTTCAGTTTGTTATTTTTTTTTTTTTTCATTTGTGATTCATTTTCATAATAAAAGTTTAACTCACCACAATTTGATGCTCATAACTGAGAACAAATCATCTTAGAAACTTATGATACACTTTGGAATTCCTGAAAGTACGATCTTTAGAATCTCCTTATAGATTTTTTTATCCCATTTTTTCTCTCGCTCTTTTATAGGGTGGAGAAAAACTAGGGTGAGTTGCATCAATATGGAATAGGTTCATAGCATGAAATATCGTTACATTTAAACAACCTTAAGTTGGATTTTATCGTCAAGAATTTTATTGGCTTAAAGAAATATCAGAACATTGTGTCACTATGTAAAAAAATTTACATACTATTTGAATAATTTTTTAGAATATTTTTTAAACTTTAAAATTCCTTTAATTATTCGATAAAAAATATACCAAGCATTCATATTTCAAAAATTTTATTGTCTGGAAATAATTTTATCCATAAGTGTATTTTGTTGTCAACAATTTTCGTGTTACATTGCTTTTGTATTCTAATTTTAGTCTTTCTTTCACTCAATTGAAACATTCTCGACTTCACTGAATTTCCGAGGAAAATATTGCAAGCTTTTCCCGTCACGTTTTTATAACATGGTTATCGAAAAAAAATGCGAATACAATAAAACACTTTAGAAAAGAGATGTTTATCATTGAAACAATTGTTTCAATAAACAAGTAAAAATCTGTTCAGTGTATATTTCTCCCTCATCTCTTCGATGCTGTAAAATACTCGTTTATTGTTGTTAGTAAGTAAACATCGCAATCTGAAGTAATAACAATTTTTCAAACTTTCTCATAGTAATTTGGACTTTGAAAAATTCTATTTTCATTCTTTGTGGTGGTATTTTTTTGTTTTCACCTGCATTATACTTTCTCATTCACGGTGTTTCTCGAAAGAACTAAACGCTGAGGATTGAGGGAGGTGTGCAACGTCGCATTAAACATTCAAAGAAGCCGTAAAAAAGAAGATGCATTAGCATCCTGCATTGCGACTGCGGTCCACGGAAAAACATAAATAATTCAATAGTTTTTGTGCAGCCATGCTGGACGTTGAGAAGGGGGTTGCAAACGAGAAGCAGTGATACGTAAGCAGGGATGAAAGAGAGAATATAACTGCAGATTTAACGAGGAAAAGTATTTGGTAGTCTCTGTTAAATTGTCAAATGACTAAATGGAAATTTCAATAGTAATAAATGCTTGAAAAATCTTTTTTAAATTTAACAGGAAATAATTTTTACATCTGACAACTTGGAATATCATAAAAATTAATGGAAACTGAAACTTTGTACGAATTGGAATGATTATTCTATTGAGAATAATCATTTTCTGTCTTATTGAGCATATTTTTATTTTTAAGAATTCATGAAGCAAGATTTTATGTTTAGAAAATCGATAAAAAATATTCATCAAAAAATTTTAATGTTAAGAAAATCTTAACATTATTCTGATCTTGAATAATCGAAACATTGTAAAAAATATTTACGTATGCTAAGGAAAAAATTTACTCCATCCAAAAAATATTTCATTCGATTATTAACATCGAAAGTTTAAATGTTCATAATGAAATATTTTTTCGGAATTATGAATATTTTATTAAAATCATTTTATTTAATGAAATAAATGAAATGTTATTTATTTTCAAACTCATCGTAACATTGAAACAAATAACAAAATGTGTTTTTGGTGACAATATTATTAAATCAAATAAAATATTATCTTAAAAATACTCCAAGTTCCTTTTATTGATTAAATAAAAAATTTTTTTATTTAACGAAATTTTTTTCTGTGTATTCTATTAATAGTTGAACTTTAAAAAAAAATATTAGTTTTGCCCTAGTTATTAACCGTGATCAATTGGTTTTGTTTAATGTTCAAAAATTTTTTTCATCTTTTTTATTTTTATCTAAAAAACTTTTACACTACAAATGAAACAAAGTGAATAAAACATTTTTCACGTCTAGAACGGAATTACCATCAAGGTACAAAAATACTATCAACGTGTAATGTTCACGTAAATAAAAACTACTTAGAATGGAAACTCTAGTATAAAATTTAACTTTCAGAACTTTAGAAAAAAGTGCTTAACCTTAATAGCGTTTTATCAATTAAAATTGCATTCTAAAGACATCTAACAAATTATTTAAAATTGACATTTAAGTCAATGGAGTAATCGAAAAAACTAAAAAATGCTACGATGCTCGTAAAAAGACCGGAAAATATTCGGACGTAAAGTGATCGAAAGAAACTAAAGGACTCAAGAGATTACTAGAAAAGGTCGTCTAGGTATTGACCACTAGTGTCGTAAGATCGAACCCTCGGGATAGCTCAAGAAGATATAGTACAAAAAAAGGTCGAAGGAATTGAGAAATTCAACCAGTTGGAATAGTCATAGCATGCCAAGACTCAATTATTACCCAATAGAATATCTTATGCAATTTTGGAATATCTGCTGGTTTGAATATGGACCCAAGATAAAATGAAGGTTCTGGAAGAACAAAGATAACGTAACCGTAGACTCTGTCGATTCGATTGGTCGGAGAACTGCCGAGTAGGAATTTCGAGAAAGTTTTAACAACAGCATACCTTGTTGGAGAAAATAGTTCTAAACTAAAATTCAAACGCTGGTATCTGCGTAATAATGGAGAAAGCACCAATTTTAGATATTATTTCTTTGTGTACACTTCTTTTTTCATTTCAAATGAATGTAGCTAATTATATACTTGTAGGAACATGTAATTCAATTATTCCAATTCATTTGGGTCTATTTGTTTCAAGTAAAAATATTGAATAATCTATTCATGTTGGTGCTAATTTTTTCATCTACTCACTAAATTGTTATACCTCCTTCTTATATTTGCTCTCTTTCATTTTCCTTTTCATTCCGTATAATTGAATACATTTATTAATTATAAAGAACATATGTGTGCAGAAATACTAACACATAGTCATCATTAATTGAGAGGTTTGGGATTTTACACTCAGTTTGTATTCCTGTTTCATTCAGGCTGTTTTACTTACATTTTCTGTTACTGTTTGTATATAAAAAGTGAGCTATCCATATTTTTAATCTACACAAATGAAGTTATGTTCTAAAACTAATCATATTTGCATGTAAAATACTAGCCTCTTTTGAGCCCTACTGTACTTATTACTCTGGTTTACTTTGGTGATGAGAGAATTTTATGACGATAGAGCATTTTACTCAGTACTACTTTTTTATACTCTGTGAAAGCTTAATAATAAAGTGTATTATTAAAAAAATAGTTTTTTTTCTCGAAACTAATAAATTTTTTTTTTCAATTTCATTATAACTAATATAACTAAATACAACTGCTAATATACAATATTTTTTCAAACTTGATGGTTAGTTATTCTCTACCATTGAAAAACATTTTTAATGAATCTATCGGAAAGAATTTATTTTTCTCTGAATTAATTAATTTAACTTTATTTAGTTTCTTTTTTTAATTTATTTTCTTCAACATTATTCAAAGTATCCTAAGTTGATTAACGGATTCTTTAACAAATCAAATACTCTTTTCGTTTTCCTTGCTAATAAATTTTCCGTATCTAACACAACTAACTCAACTAACAAAATCTTTCTCTTTCTCGTTTTCAGACGTACCAGAATCCCGTCTGCTAATGCACGTAATGGACTAACACAATTTCCTGCCGACGTCAGTAACAATGAAGTATAGAAAAAATGTTGGAACCTCTGAATGACCAGAACGATTGATTGCTTTATGTTGGCAATTCGGAATTCAGAATTAATTGTATTCATCTATGGATTGGTTCATTTGTCTCACGACCATGTTAATGACTGAAAATGCAAAGAACAAGCAATGGATTGAAGTTGGATTTAACAGAGAATACTCCAGGTAGCTCATCTTCGCGGTTGCCTAATCTGGTAGAACATGTGGAAAATTATAACCAGACAATTACCGGCTTAGCCGGCGAAAATTTGAATAGCAAATTGCCAAACGTCGTTGAAGGCTCCATGGACTATGGTAGCGAGCGAAGGTCCTCCCGTTACCTGGATTATGAGTCAAAGTGCTTCCAAGATGGCCAGGCGTCAGGGAGTTACATCGATAGTGGTGGAGGTGGTGGTGGTGTTGTTATGAACACCAAGAATGTTGACTACGGTGACAATACTTTTTTAGCACGTAGCTATGATAGAAAGTTGCCTGGTGGAGGCTATGATACAGAAGATAGATATGACAGTCGAATTTATCAGGAAGAAAGTTTACGGTATGATAGACGAGTAGAACGAACCTATCAAGAATCAGACTTGGATGCACCTTATGATAGAAGCGACACTGCAAAACTTCGAAGTTACAACCAAGATCTTCAAGACTCTAGTAGACGTTATTCTCGTGATCTAACCGATTACGAATATGCTTCAAGGTATGCTGAAGAAACTCTGAAGCTTGAACCAAAGAAAGATCATCGACATCATCCATCCAAAATTTATGAACCAATTAGTCAAGTTTATGATAATTTAGCGAAAGGTGGATATGAATCAGGTGTAAAAACGCGTGAATCATCATACGAATTAAGTGCTTGTGCTAATCCAGATATTGGAAGATCAAAGTACGAGAGTAAATATGCTCCTACCGCCAAGGTCTATGGTACACTGCCAAGATACGAGTCATCCGGCAAAATTTATGATACATATGACACAGCTGGTCGACCTTATGATTCCAAATATGATGATACAAACTATGACTCAGGAATCAAAGGGTTTCAAAGTTCAACTTCTAAATATGAACTTAGCACTTCGAAAAGTTATATTCAGGAAAGATCAAAGTATGAACCTGTCGCTAGATATCAAGATACCTCAACTAAGGCGTATGATCAGACGTTAAAGATAAGTGAACTTGGATCTGCTTCAAATGCGTATCACAGAAAGCAAAATCCGGAATCTACTGTGACAAAAGCACCGGAAAAAACCAATGGATATCGGAAAAATAACTTTGAAGCATATGGAGTTTACTCTGATCCTGAGGATGATCATGGCTTTTTACCAGAAAAGAAAACACCACAATATTCTTATAAAGGTGTTGTAGTAAACGCTACTGGAGAGTCAGCCGTTGTAGATCAGAAAAGGACCAAAGAAACAGAACAGACACAAGTTCCTACTAGTCCTTGGTGTAGACCAACTATTCTACTTCTTCTTCTCGTTCTTCTCATAGTTAGTTTTGTTTTCATAGCTGGAATCCTGCTCTATTTTAATTGTAAGTATCTTACTTTTTTTCTAAAAATATAACAATGCATACTTTAGAAATTTTTCTTCAACTTGAACTAGTTTAGCTACTAAAAAAAAGTATATTAAAATAACTAAATAATTTTCGAGGTTCTTAACATTTCTCAGTTAATATTAAGAATTAAATTCATCAAAAAAGATTGTTAGATAGAAAAGTAATGAAAAATATTTAGAATCCAATAATTGAAAAAAAAAGATAACTATTTCATTTAATTTGTCACTGTCTTACTGAAATGAAATTTCGCATCTTTAGACCTTCAATCTGTCAGAATGGAGAGAGTAAAAGTCGTCTATCTTCTCTTAATGACCATCGACAGTAATTACTTACGGTTGTGTCTTTGACACAGAACAATGATATAGCAAAAAATGGAAAGGGGATGAACGAAAGAGTGAAAGAAAGAGTCAAGAAGTTACCTCAACGTCGATAGCACGTGCTGGCGATCCTTTAGTAGGGCGTAACTGTCTCTCCTGCAGTTTTATGTGTCGGATTTGACATGCTTAGCACGTAGAAACTTGCCACTAGCGAAACTGTTCGGTTGGAATTACAAAGTATTTCGTAAAAAGAGCAGTGCTCGATTTGAACATGCTGGCTGAGATAATATTGGACAGAAAGACCAACATTATATTGGATTAAATGTCGCAGATAAGTTTAAATTATTTGGCTTGAGTTTTATTGGAAATCAACGATCAATACATTTTTTCTCAAGTCAAAATGAAGTTGTGGTCGCTGAGTTATGTAGTCGATATCAATTGGGGATAAGTAACTAAACTTGTTCGTTATTGATTAACTTCAAGTATCTTCTCATTTACTTCTGTGAGTAAACTTAAACTTGAGCAGTTGAAAGGGTCCTGCTGATCTCTTGATCATTCTACATTTTTACTGATGGTGAAAACCGAGAGTTTTTGGTTCTTTTCATAAGGTTCGAATGACTGTAACCAAGTTGAGTTTGAGAATTCTCAAGTTGTTTCATCAAAGATAAATTAATAAATTCAAATCAATTATTTAGCTATATTCATTGCATATATTTTGTGAAGACTCTTATATTTTCTACGTGTCAAAATAAACTCTTTAGACGGTTATGTAATAGAATGACGAAGATGCTTAAAGCTCCAGAATAGTTTTAAGAGTCTTACTTCCGGAGATTTGACTTACTCTTAATTTTCTCTTTCCTTATTTTTTTTTATCTCACAAAGTCTCTTTCGAGGTACTGCAAACTTTTATTTTTTTCGGTGTGCCAAGTTTTTAACTTTCTACGAATGTATTCGGTTCGAAAAGCGACCACGGGATTTCAGTTAAATGGATGAAAGAGAAGCAAAGGAAGAGACAGGGTGGAAACGGAGAGGAAAATCAAGTGAACGAAAGATAGCGAAAGAGTGAGAAAACAAGGTAAGGCATGAGTGTGAAAGAAAAGTGAGAAGGGAGAGTTTCTGGGATTTATCGGTGTTAGACTTATTAACTCTCGAGCAAAGTCGACATTAATCTTGGGCAAACTTCGACAGGCAAGCCCGACTAGTCTCAAATCATACGATCGGTAGTTTATCCTATTCGCTTCCTTGCTATTCGGTATTCTGCTTCTCTCATCGTAGGAATTTTATCTCACTCATTTTACTCGTGGTCTAAATGAATTAATTAAAGACAGTATAATTTATTTGCTAAATTTTCCTTTAATTTTCTCATTTTCAATTAGTCCTAGAAACAATATCAATAACTTGGGGAAAAATGGGTTGTTTATAATAAATTTAAATAGTTATAAACAACACGAATTTTTAAATGACATTTTTTTGAAGTCGATATATGTAGTGGTTTCTTCTAACCTTCTAATATTCCTTTAAATGTCTCAAAACGTAAAGATATGATAACTTCCTAATGGAAGGTTGAAAAATTTTCATTATAATAATGATATTTCATTGTTCTTTTTAAATTTAAGATAATACCTGTAACAAAGGAAAGTGTTGCCTACTAATCATCAGCGAGTGGCATTATTAGCAGAGGATCTTCTTCCAAAATTCAATAGTTTGAATTTCTCTAGACTCCTTACCACATTCTGCTCATCTGGAAGGTGAGATACCACTGCTCATTGTTGTTGAATTCTCTTTGCATAGTTATGACTGAGTCTGGATTGTTTTGTTAGTGATCTCCCAGAGGGTATCAAAAATCAGCTTTGAAGTTTTTCATCTTAAGTTAAATAATAAAAAACTCTACAAAGAATATTTTTACTTGAACGAAGAATAAAAAATCAGTTAGATAATTATTAGTTTCCATCTCTTCTTGTTATTCTCTTCTCTAAATGGTTATTTCACTTCCTCCAATAACCTTATATTTGTAGCTGTTTGACCTCATTGTACTGATCGTACATTCTTATCACTTAAAGTTGCCACAAATGGTGCATCCACTCGTACCATGTGTTTACACTTTACAGCATCAGAAAGTGCAGAAATGGATACTGATACAGCGTGTGATTCTGCAAACATGTTCTAAAGTACTAACAGTTCAGAGTAAATGGCATTATTACCTCTTTCTCACTATTTATTCATTCTTCTTCTTCTCTTTCTTCAATTCATTCTATTTATTATCGCACATTGTAAATAATACTTGATCGAGATCAGAACAGTCAATTAGATAAAGAAAGAAAAATATCAAGAATGTGAAGTAATTTTCAAACTGACTTGTCAAGGGTATCTACAATTTCAGTGTAACTACAGGTAATTTACTGTATGTGTATTAGTTTGTTTTTCGGGTAATTTCGTCGACAAAGTTAACGTCATGCTCTGCAGCGTTCTTCCAATTTTCTATAGTAAGACACATAGTATTTACCGTAAAACAACAAATTTTAGTCTAGACTTTGCTATACATATCCCAAGTAAATGTATTTAAGTAACTTTACAGCTGTTGCTTGTAACTACTATTGCTTTAGCAAGTAAAAGGGTGTGAGTATGAAGGAACTAAGGGTAAAAGCGTAACCGAAACGGAGTTACGTTCCGGTAAAAGGTGCAAAGAACTAGTCTTTCGCGATTACATCGTTATCTGAGAATCCAATTTGGTACAAGACTCGTTCACGCGGTATGCTTGGCTCGCTTTTCTCTCCCATCTACTGTCGACATTTTGTTATGTCGCATTTTCTTGTCTTGGAGCAGAGTTATTTACATAATTTGTCTTCAACAAAAATTTCATAACACCTACGTAATATTTCATTATGTCAAGACCTTCTATTTATTTTGTATTGCACACTTTTATAAGTAAACATTGAAAAAAAATTTTCAAATACATTGCAGGATTTCTCAAATGAAATTTATGAGACAGTAAAACAGTCTGCAAATTCCGTGCGAGCTTTTATGACTACCACGTGAGTCCAAGCTTGTCGTGAAATGATGAAGGAGAAATAAAATAAGAATAAGTGTCTGAGGTGACGATTTATTCCAGGCCAAATCCGAATAACGGAATGAGAAAATGTCGTTGAATAATATTAAAATTCAGCTTTTAGTCAGACATTTTCACAACGTGGCTGGGAAATTTAAGTTTATAATAATCTTCTATTTTATTCTTTCATCGTTTATTTATTGGAGAAGAAGGTAGGATTACGGTCCAATCTTTAATATGGTCCACTTGTTTGTTTTGCATCCACGCATGTTCTTTCATCAGCTAATCCATAAGTATATTAAAAAACAACTTCTTGGCAATATACAGAAACGTTGAAAAGTGACAATTGACGATAATTTAAAAAAGTAAAATGTATTGAATAAAAACCAAGAAGGACTCATAACCCTACCTTCTCCTCTAATAATTTCCATCAGTTATTCTTTATTAAAAACCATAAAACCTATTAAGTATTAGCTTTTATCATTCTTCATAGTTTCAGCTATTTTATGGATTTTTTAGAGATTAAAATTAATCAAAATCGCTTTGAAGAGTCACAAAAAAGCTTTTAAAATGCCTGAATTGATTCTTTGGTAATTTTTAAGTATGAAATTCTTCAGTTTATTTCTTTCGAATTGATTTATGAATAAAGTATAAAATAAATTATTGATAAATTGGTTCAGATCCAATATAATTAATTAATGCCTCTAATCAAAAAGGATGCAAATAAAAAAGAAATCTAAACCGAGCAGCTGGTGATGGCATTGGTGCAGTTGCAGCTTAAGAATGAGAATGAAATGGAGAATCGCGGGAACGCTCATAAAGGCAGATGCAAACACGTGCCTTACATACTAAATTTTCGCGTTTGACTGAATCTATATAAGTGTGCAAAGGTTCCAGAATAGTTCCTAATTTTACACCAAGTTTAATGTCGGTGAATTTTCCAGCTGGTCGACCACATTGTGGCAATTTTAAATATGAGAGTATTTGTATCATCATTATTTTTCCCTGAACTCGGGTTTAATAGTTGTGTATATGAAAATTTATAGAATAAACGAACTCCCAATATTAAATAAAAAGGAAATCCTCTTATCTCTTTTTCTCATATGAACAGTTGGACGTTAAAAGAACGACAGTCATAAATTGAAGAGTGTTAACTTTCCACTGTGTTCATAATTCGTATTTTTATACCTCTTATTTATTTGAGTTAAATTAACAACCTATTTATTTGAGTCAATGTAATTTACTTCAAAATAATATAAGATTAATACGTTGATTTTATTTTTTACTTGGGTTCCCTTTTAGTTAAAATGGGATATGTATTATATATTTACACTGAATGACATGAGGTGAGAAATTATCGAGGAAAAATTACCCAAGTTCTACCCTTGATATAAAAGTACAAATCCGCTGTCAGAAGTTTTCCCATTTTTTGTCTATTTATCCTAGCCCTTGAAAACTTTTCTTGAAATATATTGAAGAAAATCAATCGTTTGTAAATGATATAATTCTTTTTTTTATACTTGCTATCTTTTTTCTCCATTCAATTGAATAATCAATTTCCTGTAAGATGTCATCTTGTTCAATCTCGATGACGGTGAAATTTCATGAGAGATAAAACAAGTAGATGCGGAATTAATTAATTTTCTCATAGTATCTTTATCATCAGATACATTAAGTCTTCTGAGAATCTTATGGTTAGTGAATTTTGATGTCATCAAACATCCAATTTCATATGAATATGATGTTCTTTTTTAAATCGAATTATTTCCTATTATTTAAACGTAATTTACACATTTTTGGGATCATAAATCACTTATTGTTAAAGAAGAACAAAAAAAAATAACATATTGGATATTTTTACACACTTCTTTTACTATTACTTCAGGATATTCTTTGTACAGTCATTGATGAAAGTTTATTGACTGATGTTTTAAAAATCAATTGTAACAACAGAAACATGCGCTTTTAGTCTGTTTGGAACCATTTAAAATATTCTAAAAATTTTACCTTAGCTTTTATTATAAAAGTTTCAAAAATTGTTTGAATTCTAACATTTAGCAACACAATAAATTTAATTTGAAAACAAGAATATGTGAAGAACGAGAGAAAATGAACTTTAAAAAAGCGAATTTTATTTTTTGATCAACCAAATAACTAAGAAGAATGTTTAAAAGACAATGAAAATAGAATTCAAAAACTTTGAAGAATTCAGAGCTTTGATGGTGATGCTGACATTCAAGTAGATGGTGGCAACATGTGTTAGCCATGATGTGGACGTATATCTTGAACGGAAAAGGCTATCGACGGGATATCGGGATGTAGGAGTTACCACAGAGAGGTGGACTTGCATACATATCGTTACTTTGGCAGCACCGAGTGGTTCAAACGACTAGGTCCTTTGGTGTGATCCCCAAATCCTCCAGGTATATGAATGTATGCATCAGTGTAACCTATATGACAAAACCCTTGCCTGCCAACCTTGTTTGCTTATGGTTCGTTAACACGTGACGCTTTTCGACGAGGTCGCGCTCGTTAATCTCTCCAGCATCATCTCTTACGACAGCATCATTTACCTCAATCTCAACGATTATTACTGCAGGCAACCAAGTATAGGCGTGGAGAATGATTTTATTTTCATCATATGATTAAATGGAAACCAATCAACGTTGTTATTACAGTGTTATTTTTATCGTATATCAATTTGACCTTATTTCCACTGTTAATGGCTGCTAAAGGTTCGTTAAGGTAACTTCGATAGTCTTAAATGTGACAGGTATCACATCAGTGTATTTACTCAGTAAGCTTAAGTAATCATGCTGCTTAGGTGTCATAAGACGACAAGGAATACTTGCAGATAATTTTCCACACTGTAAGCATTACTATATAAAATTTACTTGCCGTGAAGATTGTCACTTTGGGTAATATGAGAATGACCTGGTTTTAATTTTTCATCAATTACAATCTTGTTAGCTTTTGGATGCTTTTTATTAGATTTTATCTCCAAGATGCTAATTACTGACAAGCTTTATATTCATTAAATTTTTTATATAATTTTAATTAACATACTTCTATCAAATACAGCAATTAGATTGACATTATTCCATTATAATTCAATAAGTAATTTTAAGTAAAAGTAAAAAGTTCAATTTGTAACAAAAAATTATTTTTTTTTACAGATATGTCCTATAAACCACGACATCCGGTACTTGAGGGTAAGTTATATTACATTGAAGCAATAATTTTTTTAATTATTCTTAAGAATTTATTCTATCAATAGTTGATTTAATGCAGATTTAATTCTCCTTTTATCCTTATAAATTTATTATTAGTTAATTATCAAGTGCTAGATACTCCCAGGAATAGTCATATATCAATCATAAAGTCCTTATCCCTTCAATCTTTTATTACCATAATTTTAATGTAATTATAACAACATAAAATCTTTGTGTAGTGGACATTTCTCTTCTAGTATATAATTATTGATAATTTTTTTCATTCATGGTTTTATATGTGTTATATATCAAACGGGTAGTTATTATGATTATTCAGAGGTCATGAGTGTGAGTAAATGGTCACGGAAGCTACTTGAGATTGCAAGTCACGACTCTTAAGTTGTGGCAACTGTATGGAAAATCAAGTTAAAAAAAAAGAACTAAATCGTTTCACATCTCGTTCGTTTCATTTAATTGTATGTGAACAATCGAGTCTAGGGAGTGGTTGAATTTTTTATAGCGTCAGTAGAAAAGTTTTCAACCATTCTCTATAGGTTTGATGGTAAAAATAAATCAGATTAAGGCGAGAAGAAAGTTAATGGCTAAGAAGATTGATGTGACGATGAAGCAAAAAAGTCACGACAGTTTGCTTAAGAAAAGTAGCATAGTGTTAACGTTCAACAATTTTTTGTACATTCTTCTATAATCATGCCTCTTTTCTTTTCAAATGTAATATTGTCAAATAAATAATCCAATCATTTTTCTATGACTTATTTTCATAATTACTTCAAAGAAGATTTTTAAAAATAATTTTCATCAAGTTGTTTAAAACAAAACACAAAAAATTGCATTATTTAATAATTTAATTTTTACTTCTCAACAAATGTGAAAAATATTTTTTTTTTTTTTAATTTAAAGGATGAAATGAAATAAGTGAGAAGTTTTTAATATCAAAGTCCTGACTCATGAATAAATTATAATTATAAAAACAGTTGAGTAGTTTTAAGTAATTAGCAGAGAATGAATAGCCACAAGTTGGATATATAATTTTTATCCAATAATTTAACGGCCACTTCATGCGTATAAATGCTTTTATGTTATATTGTGATGAACGTACAAAAGTACCAATGGCATGTCCAACTATAGCTTTTACTCTTCTTCGGCATTTTCATTTACTAAAGCATCAGAAAATGGCTTTGTGTAATCTTTATAGAATACCATTTGAAGTGTAGTGATGTTATGGTCACTCAACACAAACAAAACAAAATGAAACTATTGGATTGACTGAAATAGTTGATGTTCTAGTGCAAAGTTGTTCCAAACAAAGACCAGTGTTCATTGTGTAAATAACCAGAGCTTTTATTAGCGTAGAAACACTCCAGTTGATAGCTCTACGCACTGGCTATCGAATTTTCAAAATAGAATTCCAAGTACAGTAGGAAGTGAAAGTAGGGATAAAATGGTGCTTGTATAGTTGGTGTGCACAGTTCGTAAGGGATAGTAGAACATATGTGGAAATGACTACAAAAGCCACGAGTAGTGGGATGATACCGAATCAGATATCAGAATGGAGAGAAGATCGTGTGAGGAAACGAAGACTTAAAAAAACGAAAAGGTTGGAATAAAATTTTGCCAAAAATATTCTACGAAATGGAGTACAGTCACAATAAATCGTTATGATTTCTGGCTGAAGGGAAAAAAGAAAAATGATTATGGGAGATGAAAAGCCGAGAATGAGATGATGTATGTTATAAAGAGATGAACATGAAAAATCAAAGTAACAAAAAAATATTGATAAAATTCCTTAAAGAATTTTGTGAAATATTTTTTTGTATTTTGCACAGAATTAAAATGGAAGATGAATAATTTTACCAATTGTTGAAGTGAAACAGAAAAAAACAATAACAATCATGAAAAGTTGTTCAATTAATTTTATTTAGAGCACAGTATTAAATTATTTTAGAAGTAATGGTTGTAGTTTCGTGAAAAACTTTTTAATTAGTAAAATACGAAAAATCAAAGTTCTTTGAATTAAACATTCGCTTTTAAATAAAATTAAGCGAGGGATTTTTCTGAAGGAATACATTAAAAGCTTGAAGAATATTCTTTATTAATAAAAGTATAGTAAATTAAATCAATAAAATAAGTAATTATTCGACAGTTTTAATTATATATTTACATGACATCAAATAGAATGTATTTTTCTGTAGTAAATTGCGTTGAATTCATGCCTGTTACTCTTTGTCATTGCTGGCTGACTGCAGTCGTGGTTTTTCACTTCCGCAGCACTTCCTCTTGAGAGTTGAGAGGCCGTTAGTGAGTTAGAGAGAATGGAAATGACTGTAGGCGGCCAGAGGAACGGAAAGACAAGTAGAAAAGCATAAGGAAGGATGCGAATGAAGGAAAAGTATAGTTAGCTTGTATAGTCTAGAGAAAGCATGACTAGGAAAGAGATTCATATGTGTGTGCATAGAAAGTTGCCTCAAGCTTAGCTTTCTTGCTCGGAAAGCAATTTCTGGAGTACAACCTTATCACACACGTACACACACATATCAACGTTTGTATTGTGCTGCTATTGCACCATATCAACGCAACAGCATCCACAAAATACATGGGAGACGATGTTCCTTTGTAACGGGTGGAGGTAACACATACAGCTTTAAAAAAACTCGAGGTATTATTCAACTTCCTTAAGCAAAATATCTGACTATATTTTCGTGAAATATTTCATTCTCTCCATTTTTATACTGATATTCATACTCATGAATGATTTGGATGTTACTAAACAGAGTTTCAACTTAGCAATCTATGAGAAAATGTTTTTTGTTTGTTTTGTAAATGAACTTATGTTGGGTAATAAGGAACAAGATTGTTTAGTTTAAAAAAAATGTAAATTATTTTCTCGTCGGTAAACTTTACAAGGAAAAATTTTGTTAATACATTTTTTTCTTCTTTTTCATAAAAAAAACTATGAGAAAAATAAAGTAATCGATAATGAAAATAGGGTTTATGTTTCATGAGATACTTTTTTTTTATTTAAAAAATGAATATTTTTCGAGAGATTAAAAAAAATCTACCAGTTATTTTTAATTAATCGAAAAACTTTTAATGCAATCAATCACTTTTTTCATTCATTTTTTAACTGCGTAATTTTTCACCGAAAGTAGTATTTCATTTTTATGGAATAATGTTAAACGAAAGCATTTCAACTCTCAAGTATTTTTTTTTATTTTGGAAATCATGCTTTTTCTTTCCATGTAGATTAATAAATTACTCTAGTAAATAAAAGAGAATTGTCATGCTTGAGTGATACGTATGAGTCAACTGTTACAACTTCATAATGAGGCCACACTTATCGATTTTATCACAGGGTCAACTTGAGTTTGGATCTCGTTGAGTAAACGACAGAGAATCACGCGACAGAGAGTGCGTCAAACGTGTAATAAAGAAACACGAGTTAGAACAACCCTCTCGCTGTTAGAAGCTCTGGTATATTTTACCGACAGTCTACGATCCATGTTTTACATGTATTCTGATGATAATATATGCTCTACATTTACATATTTATTGAGTCACTATAAAAAAGAATTTTTTACTCACATTTGTCAATACAGATAAACTTTGTCAAAATGTTTTTTTATTTAATCGATTAGAATCACTGTAAGATTCTTATAAATATTAAATTTTTCTATGTTGATGACTCTTTATTATTTTATTAAATAATCTATCATTTAAATAAATTATGGCAAATATACACATTTGGTAAACAACACATTTTTATGCTTGAAACTTTTTTATTTATGTAAGCTCTGAAGAAAAAGCACGCGCTAGCATTTCTTTTATATAATTTTATTCGTAATTTAGCCATTTTTCAGCACTAAAACGATAAAAAATGCCATAAAAATACTTACTGAATTTTTTGATTTTTTCTGTTGAATGCATTAAAGTATCTTTGAGTTTGATGAATTTCCGACTGAAGAACTCTAAATATTTCTTTATTTAATTACAAATTTTTTTCAAATATTAAATATTTGACAAAGGTATTTATTAAATATATTCTACATCTACACAGAAAAATTTTTAATTAATAAAAATAATTTTTATAGGGGAAGAGAGAATGAAGTGAAACGCTCGGGACAATGTACTAATTTATGAAAATAAGTTTACAAATGCTTATTTTATTTTTTGTTTATCAATTTTTCAATTTGCTATTGCATTAAAAATTATTAATATTTGTTAATATCATTGTTAATTTGTTAATTAATGCTTTTTGTTAGTGTTCCATTTTACCCCACCTTTTCCTATCAAATTTAGATAAAAATAACTCCACCGCACTACTTTTAAATGTAAAAAAACTTTTTAATGTTCCAAAATTTTATAATTACAGTTTTTAACTCTAATCTGTTCGAAATTTGAAAATTTAAAAAAAAGTTTTCAGTTAGAATTAGAGTTTAAATGTGTCTCTTAACAAAAACTTTTTTATTATGGTTAGTTATCTCGTTAGACAATAGTCATGGGTAGAAGGCAAGCTTACGATTTGGACTATGCTTTAACTCTTGCAGCCAAGAGGTGTGACTGAGACATGGTTCCCAAGAGGGAGCAGCGTTCAAGATTTACGAACTTTACTCGCGTGTATCACGAACGGTTATTCCCTCGAGTATCACTTGAAAGTGTGTGACACCGCGACCTTTTCTGGAATTTTTTCTCACTATTCTTTTTTCGTTATCCATACACATCAAATGTACAAACTTGTATGACACTAAAAACTTTTACTCACATCTATTCGGCATCGAAGTTTTTTCATAGATGTTTGTCATTTTTCTATTTCCTTTTACTGTATTTTTCTTTTCTATAAATACGTAAGAACAAACAAAAAATACTAATTTCTATTTGTTAGAAACTTCTAAAATAAAATAATCAAATAAGTTTAGTTTTCAATCATTTTTGTTTAATGAACAACATTATTGTATTTTCATAACAAATAAAATTTTGTTGCTTGA